AGCCTGACAGGTTCAGTCGAAGGCAGCTGCATCGCTCTGCATGTTTCCGAGTCCCTCCGGCTCGTGAAATGAGTGGTGACCGCACACAACATCCACGACAACACTTTAACGTACACAAAGGTGCCATAGAACCACACCGTCGGCCGTTAACAACATCACGAAGAAAGGACCACGGCCAACGAACCGCCGATGCCTCACTGGTTTTGGGAGTCAGCACCAGTGCTACCCGGGACGCGTAACCACTGTCTCCTGTCCCGCTCCCAAAACCCGGCGGGCACGCGCCAATGACAAACGGCGTCCACCGAAGTGGCGGCACCATGCTGGCCGCAGCACCGGCCGGCCGCTTCCTGCACCGCTCCGGCGGCCACCTCAGCCTCTCCTGCTCCGCTCCAGCCCGCACCGGCCCTCGATCGCCGGTCGGGGCGGCCCGAGCCTCCACAGCGCGTCCGACACGGCTGCCGCCGGCGCGCCACCCACGCTCTCGGCGGGGGCCCCACCGGCGTCCGTCACAGCCGACGGGCCGCGCCCGGCCCCCTCCCGATCCGGCCACGCGCTCCTGCTGTCCGATTTCGTGCCTCGGGGGATGCCCGGGCAGCGCGCGACGCCGGCGGCGCGTCTCACACGAAGCCGCCGCACGGGCCAGCGATCACGTGCGCGTGCGTGGCGTTGCAGTGGAACACGTCGCGGAAGGCGGCCGCCTGCTCGACGGCGAGGTCCAGCCTGCGGACAGCCGGCAGGGTCAGCCGGGAGGGCGGCCGCTTCGCTGGCCGCCCCGACGCCAACGGCGCTCTCTGACGCGCTCGGGTCGGCCCGGCCGCTCGTCGGCTGACGCAGCTGGCGTACGGAGAACAGCCGTGGCGTCGGGATCCACCAGGTGTGAGGACACCGCAGACTGACAGTCGGATGCGGTGACAGCAACGTTGTACGTTTTTCCACAGAAGCTACCGTTTATTGATCATAGTGTCGTGTGCCACTCGGACTGGTCGATACTGTTTTGACTCATTATAGTAATTCAGACTTAGTAATTAGGCCTTAATTAAAACTTAATCGTTATTAATAATAACAATTACTAATTACTTGCTACATCTTTGAACAAAATAATCATAAAATAATTTCTTACACGAGATGGGTGCAATGTCTCGCACGTGATATATGAAATTATGATCATTCGGACTCACTTAATCTTCCCATCCAACGAAAACTTGGTGAATTCGTCCCAGTGATCTTTCTCTTCTGTCTTGTGCCTACATTGGCTCTGAAGAGGACACAAAGATACGTATTAGCAGTGCGTCTGGTTCGTCAACTATTCAGGGAAAATATCACCACGCCAAAGCATAAGCATGCTATAAACCACACCATCTTAATCGGAAAATGACTGGTAAATAGGTGCCATGAGTTCCCGTGCTGAAAACAACCGGGCTCCACCATACGAAGGAGCAGTGATTGAAATATTTCTAGCAATCATTGGGCGATACGATGATATCCCACGTTTCGAGGAAATACAGCCGTGCACACTGTCCGGAAACGTCATTCATTCGAACGTCACAAAAACTCGTAGCATTCTCATAAGATATTTAAATGATTGCTAAACATATTGTCGTCGGTTGATTTTAGCATGACAATCGAAGCCGAGAAACAGCGTATGGTGCCCGTATCAAGTATAATGAAATGTCGGCGAAAATGCCGCTCCTTTGCATACCGCGACACCTCAATTTATCATGCTTGGGTTATTTATACTTTCAATGCATATATCGAATACGGTGGCTGCGCTGTGCTGTTGCCAGCATCTCGGCACCTCTCACCTGGCCGTAAGCTATGAAGAACACTTTCTCTGCCTCCATCGCTTCCAGGCCCGGTAGTTGCTTGTCCCCCACCTCTTCCAGGTGATCCTTCAACGTCTGGAACAGGCGAGCATGTCTGGGAAACTCCCACCGGTCGGCAGCTCCCCTCGGCTTGACCGTTCATCACTGACACGTCCCCCCCCCCCTGACGGAGGGCGCCGGAGAGCAGAACAATGCTGGGCAGCCATGCCGTCCATCTGCTGGCTCAAACCAGATAACAAAATTGGCCAGTGCTCGAGACGGGAGAGGATTGTCAACGCGGCAGCTTCAGAGCAAACCGCAAAAATGTACGCTGGTGACACCAAATAATAACCTGCACGCAGAACAAAAGAAGCACGAGAGGAGGGTAAAAGGAAGAGATAGCACACATTGAGTGACTAGAACTAACGATCGGGTGTCAATAGACGGGCGCCGTAATCAAGGGCGGAGGACCACGAGCAGGCCGTGTGGTGCGCGTGGCGCATTACCGGCTGTATTACGGTTTACCGCCGTCAACGGCAAGACAACCAGGTGAGCAGTGGTCGTTGGATGAGTTCTACTGAACCGATTCAGTCGTCCATACCAAATATCCGCAGTCCAGCGGTCAGACAGACTGGTGCGCGTTGATCAGTCCCAGTCTGCTGACAGCAGCGCAAAGGCGGACTTCACCTTGAACGGGGAAGTGCTCATTTCAAGGACCCACCGGACTGCACCCCAGCGGGAAGAATCATCACCTCGAAGACCCACCAGATTGCCCCCTGTCTGGGACGACTCCTCACCTCGAGGGCCGGCCCAACGGCACCCTAAGCGGAACGGCCCCTCATCCCGAGAACCACCCGGACAAGAGCCTGAGCGGGAGAGCTTCTCACCTCGAGGGCCAGCCGCACGGCCAGCACCTGGACGGACGCGGACGCCGAGACCCGTGCCACGGTCGCCTGTTGGACGCCCGCCGCCGCCAGCGCGGCCGACACGCATGCGCGGAACGTCTCTTGGTTGTGCGCCATCGTCTCGTGGTCTGTCGTCGTCGCGTTACTCCGGTCCATCGATGAAGTCAAGCTGCTGTGGTCGATCGAGGACAAGATGGCGTCCGCCAAGCGCGTACCCAGACCACCATACTGGAATGGCCTGGAAACATCATGGGTTAGAATATCGTACAGAAATGTATATTTCTTTGATTGCAACAATCATTTTTTTCGTTCAAGCACGGCAAAGTGCTCTTAGTTTGGGCACGATCGACTGCAATTGCTGGTCTGTGCGAATCACGGCTCCGAATTGTGTAAACCCGTTCGGCGTATTATTCACAAGAAAGCAAAACAAAAAAGGTAACATACCAACTGGAGACCAATAGATTGCTCGCGTTGCACCAACCGCTAAGCCCAGTCAATGCTGATATTAAAAAGCAAGTACGCTGGTATACCCAGGCACCACACCTGCGGTTTTTGGCGTGTAATATGCCTATGGAATACTGACAATAACATGACACGCTCATGTGCGATTGGATGATATTGTACAGCGTTGGCCAATGGCAGCTTGCACCATGCCACATATCTGTTCCTATTCAGGAACGCCGGTGTCGCTCCAACACAACGTCCCCGCGCAAACCCAAACGACCTCTCTTCCTGGCAGTATTGCAAACGGTACAATGTCTGTAGCAAGTCAGCTGTATCTTACCGCGTCCCAGCTAACGTTAGGGGAAGTAAGATTGCAACGGACTGGGTCGGGTGAGGCCGACCGGGCCGACGGCAGCCCCAGCAGCGCCCGCCCCCCCCCCCCCCCTCTCCCCCACCCCCTTCCTGTCACTCACGGCGGGTAAGCGGGGTCGAACAGCGGGGGCCGCATCAACTGGTCCGGCACAACGACGGCGTTCCTGGCGCTGCTGTAGCTGACGCTGGCGCCGTTCAGCAACGGCTCCAGCTCCCACTGCTGGCCTGGATGGCACAGAGTGGACGCGGTCAGACGGGAGCAGCGGCCGGAGCAGGCGCCCCGCCGCCGTCGGCACAGGACACACGGCAGCACTGGCGAATCATAGCTGACGATAATCTGTGGGCGTCACGGCTGGTGCGCCACCGACAATGTCCGGACCACGGCTGGTGCACCACCGACAATGTCCGGACCACGGCTGACACACCACCGACAATGTCCGGATCACGGCTAGTGCACCACCGACAATGTCCGGATCACGGCTGGTACACCATCGATAATGTTCGGACCACGGCTAACACACCAGCGACAATGTCCGGGCCATGGCTGGTACACCACCGACAATGTCCGGACCACGGCTGGTGCACCACCGACAATGTACGGACCACGGCTGGTACACCACCGACAATGTCCGGACCACGGCTGGTGCACCACCGACAATGTACGGACCACGGCTGGTGCACCACCGACAATGTCCGGGCCACGGCTGGTGCACCACCGACAATGTACGGACCACGGCTGGTGCACCACCGACAATGTCCGGACCACGGCTGGTACACCACCGATAATGCTCGGACCACGGCTGGCACACCACCGATAATGCTCGGACCACGGCTGACACACCACCAACAATGTCCGGATCACGGCTGGTGCGCCACCGATAATGTCCGGATCACGGCTGGTACACCACCGATAATGTACGGACCACGGCTGGTGCACCACCGACAATGTCCGGACCACGGCTGGTACACCACCGATAATGCACGGACCACGGCTGACACACCACCGATAATGCTTGGACCACGGCTAACACACCAGCGACAATGTCCGGACCACGGCTGGTGCACCACCGACAATGTCCGGACCACGGCTGGTACACAACCGACAATGTCCGGACCACAGCTGGCACACCACCGATAGTGCTCGGACCACGGCTAACACACCAGCGACAATGTCCGGACCACGGCTGGTACACCACAGCTATATGGTACGTCACAGACAATGCCCGCGCAATATTATATGTGTAATTTGTTTGCCAATGCATCTGAGGTCACGTGACCAACATTCGGACAACGGTCAGCTGGTCGTAACGGGGTCGCAACCAGGTCCCCGCCCCAATGCAGGACCCCTTCAAGTTCACAGTCCCATCCTCCATGAGAACCTAGACCCATGCCTGCATTGAAGATACACCTGAGCGCGGAGGGCGTGGGGAAGGTGCTACCGACGCCATCAAAACATCACGTCATCAGACGGCAGCCATCTCTCAGCAGACCGCCTGCCGCTCTCCCCGCACGCGCGTGACTGTCGTCCCATCTCGCGGCCGCTGGTGGCGGCTGCCTGTCGCGCCTCGCCGCACGCACCAGGCGCCAGGTAGGCCTTCTGCTGGACGACGCGCTGGTGCCGACGCGCCGCCTGCACGCTCTCGAAGAACCCATAGCGCAGCACGGCGAGGTCGCTGTACAGGCGGTCCAGCAGCTTATCCTCCAGCAGCAGCGGCGGGTAGCCGGCCACCAGGTCCAGTGACGTCACCTGTGGCAGACGGCGGACGGTGCGGCGGCCGGACGCGCTCGAGGGCTCGACGCTCACTCCAGTGGAAGCATGCGGCAGACTCTGTGCCGCGATCTGTCACGTCGAATATCTGATGACGTCAATGAAATGTGCACGCATCGCTCCGGATTCGAACAGGCGTCTTAGATCCCAATCTCGCTGGGAGCAGGATCGGTCTGAACGATTGCACAATCGCGGTTAAGTATACGCTGTGGGAAATACATGTGGATTTCCAGCTCTAGTAGCGCAGTGCGGACGACATCGCCCATAATTCTGATTATTGCAATGCTAGGCCACTAGGCCGTCGTTGAACCGCCAGCCCACACACTACCACCCCGTGCACAGTGCTGGCTGGCGGAGCCGACCCCCGCGGGGAGCAGCGCCACACCACACCCCACCCCACCCCACTCGGCACGGCGACGAGCCGGGGGCGCCAGACAACTCCTCAGGATCGGTCTCAGTGTACTCAGGAGCAGCCGGCCCACCTTCTGGATGACGCTGGCGCGGCTCTCCTCGCTGATGAAGCGGCTGTAGGTGAGCACGCTGCCCAGACTCTGCGTCAGCGCCCGGAACAGGTCCTCGGCGGCGCGCTGACTCAGTTCGCGCGCCTCCACCGGCTCGTCGCGCGCCAGCAGCGCGCCGGCCGCCAGCGGGAAGAACTCGCGAGTCATGCGCGTGCAGGTCAGCCAGTGGGGCGGCGGCTGCTTCACACCTGCACGCGCGGACGACGGTCAGGCCAGGCCAGGCCAGGCCAGGCCAGGTCATGCCAGGTCAGGTCATGTCAGGTCAGGTCATTGGAGACGATCGGGTCCGTCGCCCCAGTCCTGTGTTGTGGTGGTCCCGCGCGCGCTGGGACACAAACGGAAACGGAGAATTTGAAACCAGGAGCTAGCCACCTGATACACAAACTAGGCCTAACGAATGGGATGGCGCGTTTGCCGCGCGTTTTGCTACCGATGATTGAATGCCATGATGTCGCACCTAAGCTCTGACCACGAACCGATATTTACGGTAAACAAAAACACATGCTGGCGATGACGTTCCAGGTGGTCACTGGTGTCGCCGTGCCGGCCGCGGCCGTCCTCCCACCGGTGAGCTCGGTGGCAGCCGGCCTCTCACCGGTGAGCTCGGAGCGAAGTACGTCCAGCACGGCCCGGTCATGCTCCGGCAGGTACGGGTAGTAGCCGGCGATCAGCCGCCACATCAGGTAGGCGTTCATCGAGCTGCGGCGGCCGACGCCCAGGTCACCGCACAGGTCACGGACACAGGCGAGCTCACGGAGACAGGGGCGAGCCCACAGAGACAGGGGCGGGCTCACGGAGCCAGAGGCGAGCTCACGGAGCCAGAGGCGAGCTCACGGAGCCAATGGCGAGCTCACGGAGACAGGGGCGAGCTCACCGAGACAGTGGCGAGCTCACGAAGCCAAAGGTGAGCTCACGGAGTCAAGAGCGAGCTCACGGAGACAGAGGTGAGCTCACGGAAATAGAGGCCAGCCCGTAGAGATCGATAGGCCATATAGACACAAGCCGGAAAACGAGCAAACAAAACCACGGATACAGAGGCAAACCAAATGGGATAAACGTGACCTCACGAGGCCACAGGTGACCTCACAGGGACATAAACGCGCTAACCGGGACAGAAGCGAGCTGACGAGGACCTCACCCCGTGATCCCACCATTAATGGTAAAATCCATTTAAACGGAATAATCCTGTGACGAAATCTTAACGCACGCCAAAAATGGACACGGCCCGCCCCGCCCACAACACAGGCACATGTCAGAACACATAAAGAAGACATTGTATATGATGCGGGCATTTGGTCAATGAATGGCGAGTATAGTACTAAATGCATCGCCGCACACTCTGACACGACTCTCGTGTGTGTGCTGAGGTTTATTACTCCAAAAACGCGTACCTCCTGGAGAAGTGGTGGCAAACACCAATGTCATACAATCCCGACCTCCAGTGACGTCCTGTTTTGAGAACAAAACAAGTGGACAAAACTAAACCCGGTCACGCACCGCACGTAACGGGTCAGGCTGAGATTAACAAATGACGCACATAGACACATGCGAATAGCGAAATACTCAGACAACAGACAGACAACGGAGACAACAGACAACAGAAAACAGCAAAGAAGACAGCAAAAATACGCTGTTTGGAGCTGTGGTTGAATTCTCCGAAACCGACAACAGTCCCAGATCAACGCACTTCGTTTTATTTAGCAGCGTCGATCAGAGCGCGCCATCTCGCTTTCGACGATCAAAGATCAAAGTTAGCCCAGCCGTACGGCTTACCTCCAGATTCCAAAGCTGGAGTACACAATCCCCTCAAGAACACGCATGTGGCGACCTCTCTACAACACCCTACGAGGTGACCCAGGTGGCGCGCTCAACTCCCTCCAACACTTGGTCTGGCGGAGACATCCACAGCGCTCCGTCCCCAGCAAAGACATGAGGCAGGGCATGCTGAAACACACTGCTGTGCAACCACGCAGCTATCACGACCCACAGCCATCCTTATCATGATTAACACGGTAACCAACATCATAACAATAATAACAGAGAAGACGACGGCCACAGACAATGAAGCGGTGGCACTACGGCAAGCGAGGTCACGCTTGACAACAGCGGCGCGCCTGAACAGGCTAGACAGCCCACCTTTTCCCGGTGCTGGATATAATTTTCGAGAGCTCCACGATGTACTTGTCATCAGGGAGTAGGATCTCAGTGTCCATGTTGACATTGGCCTCTGGATACACGCTCTGAAGGGTGTTCAGCCAGTCAATCTGAAAACGGATGAGCCCACATCGCAGCCTCAGCACAGTCCCCACTCGTGAGGAAGCGTGGGTCCACAAGTCTTCGTTCCCGCCATATGAGTTTTTCCACCTTCACCCTACGAAGCAGTTTTTGAGCAAAATATCACCAATATGACGTCAAAAAAGGTTACTGATAGTGAACCTTCAATGCCAGAAAAATACAGTTTTCAGAAGTTATTCCAAAAGAAGCCTTTGGGGCTTCGTGGTTTTGAGCCCCTCCCCCTCCCTCCATCGTGCGACTATATGTAGTTGGAGGGAGTTACCACATTTGTATGCGGGTTTTGAACAGAGATAGTCACTTTAGAGATAAATGTGTAGTTCAGACACATGTCCTCTTCGATACTTTAATTCTTTCGTTTCTGAGCTGGATGCCCGTCAATTCGGCCGTCTTATTTCGTGCAGACTATTTCGAGGTCACCCAGGCATGTATAACGTCACAGAAACGTCACGTGAACACTGCCATCTTGTTGGCCATGTAGTGCTGAAGGTCACGACACAAATTATCACCGACCTTTTCGCCTCTGGTGTACGTCAGCACGACTTTTGGCATCCGCATGCTTCACTTGGCCCTGAGCCCATGTGAGGCGTTTCGTGCAAGTCTCGAACACGAGACACGTTTCGTGCTATGCAACACAATAACTTGGGTGATAGTACGGATTCGAATTAGAAGATTTAGAAGACTGGGAAACGAAAAACGTAAGAATAGCGCCGTAACCGAGTAAGTGAGTGCAAGTGAACAATATAAAATCCAGCACAAACATGCAAGAACACCACTAAAACGATCCAAAACACAAGCACAATACAACATCCGGCTCCACAAGCACCCTCTGGCAGCACACGCCGCCTCTCGGCAAGGTTAAGTACTACAGGTGAGTCAGCCCGTTCGCTACAGTGGAAATTCTGACACGGCCCGTCTGGCAGCGACTTACAACATAAAGACGTTTCGTGACGCAATCAAACGATTACACGTTGAGGAGCATATTCACTAAATGGTTAAATTATGTTGCCTAGGACAGTCTTTTACACTTAAATAAAACCGATAGTCACAAGTGAAACCGCTTCATCATACCTGATCCTTTCCTCAACATCTTCAAATGTGGAACAACCCTTTTAACACGCGCAAGGGTGGGTATTGAATGTGACGCGCTCGAGTGGGGATCAATTTGATTTCCCTAAAAATGCCCAAAACTGAGGGCTAGAAGCAATAAATTCATAGGAGAGGTGTGTCTATGTGTGCAATCACTTGTGTCACAATTTCTAGGTCATGACATTCTGGTCAAATAAGTTGAAAAAGAATAAACTTCACATCAGGTGTCGGAAGAGTCCTCAGACATCCTCATGCAACTTCATCTACCATAGATGCCTCGGTTAAGCAAAAGTTCACAGGTGTTCACTTCAGGTGAGTGACCTTAATTGCCTTTACATTACGGTAACCAATAACCCAGTCGATTATTTCGACTTTACAAAAATCAATGAGCGCCGATCATTAGGCTAGTTGGTATGTTCTTAACAGAAGGCTAATCGGCGTCATTTCAGGTCAGTGAGCACATCTGACCTGCAGGAAGTCCCATTAAGATGTCTGTTGACGTCCCTAAAATGAATAATTGAGCGTCAAATTTGGGCGTAAAAACCGCCCCATAAACAAAGTTTTTCAATAAAAAGCTTCTTTGGTTCTAACCTCGGCCTGACCTTCATACCCGACATCAATGGCGTTGGCCGTGACCTCAACTACCATTGTCTAATTATCTAAGAAGTCATCTCAAAGAAGCATGGCGTCGCCTAACAGTCCGTTGTCCCACCAGATTGAACGACTTACTTAAAATTGTTTTTGCTGTCAGCCATGGTCCGCCTTTGGCGTGCCATAGGTCAGCGACCTAACACGGTGCATACAATTTGCATACCAAAGGACAGCTATTAAATTGCACACGGCCAAACCAAGCTTGGCACAGCTACGCCAAGCCGTTTGGAAGTTATTCTAGAAAGACCTTTGGAGGGGGGGTCAAATCAATTCCCCACCGCACTCGAGCGCGTCTTTAATACCCAGCAGCGGACATGACGGCCAAAGTGAGCGCGCATCGAATGCCGAAGCCACGAGACATCCCTGGATGTCGGCGGTGCGGCTCCGGCGGCGCTAACACACGTCACAGTCGTCATAACAAACCCTGCCGCCGCGATGGTGGCCCCACATCGCGCGCCGCGATGTCTCCCCAAAATAAACGCGCGTTGAATCGCCGTCGGCCGTCGGCCGTCGGCGGTGCGCCGAGTTCGCCGCGAGCTGGGCGCCGCGCAGGTGAGCTGGTGACACGGTCCCCTCCGGACTCCATTTACAAACAGCCGGCAGCAGCCCAAATAAACGGCCCAGCTCCGCTGCCGGGCGGAGCCGCGCACAGGCGGCCCCCATTTCCCGCCGCTTGTGAGAAAAAAGGCCGAAGGCCTGTCGTTACGAGGACGGTGGGGAGCAGTTTTAGGCAATTATCCCGGAACTAAATAAACACACGTGAAATAGAACACACAGCATGCACCTTTATTGCAAACGTGAGCTTGCCGACGAGTTGGTCACACAAGTCGGTTCACCCAAATCAGATGTCACGGGGCTTAAGAGCTTCATAAAAAGCATGGGTCAGCCCTTTTTGTGAATCCTTTTTTTCCTTTCCACCTACGTTATGTCCAAGTCCCATGTTAAAGAGGAGGGCAGACTACAGCCCCGGTTCTGTGACATGCCTACGAGCAAACCACTCAAGCCGTGCGTAGGGCAATCTCCAGGAAAGTCAGAAGTCGTCCATGTTGAACACCGAGCGGCGTACATTTTGTTTTCGATATGCCTCCATGACGTACCGTTGATGTTTGCGCGACAACGATGCGCGTGTTTATATGGCTTTTCAGCGCGCGAAAAGCCCTTGTGAGTAAGAGTAAACCGATCATGGTGCCCGTGAAATCTTATCTTCTACTTTGCCATGGGAAGGCATGTTCCCGACGTTTGGGAGTTTTAGCCTACGTCATCGGCCTTAACAGCGTAAGAGCGTACGCCACAAACCAAACAAGCCATTACAGTAAATATGCAATCATGAACATGAATCGCAAAAACCCGAGCGAAACAAAACAGCGTGCATGCCTCCTCAACGGGTCCCTGTCTCCACCACGGAAGGCAGCACTGCAGCACGCTTACGGCCTCGATCGCAAGCGGTATCGGGGCGTGGTCAGCTGCGCGATAACGCGAGACCAGCGCGCGCCGGCCGGTACCTGCGGCGACTCCTTGCGCAGCCAGTCGACCGTCACCCGGCGCGGTGACCTCGTCGGGTCCCGCAGCGCCAGCGGCTCCAGCGACGCCTCCACCAGCCGCTTCTCGTAGTTGAACATGTTCTGGGCGAAGCGGCTGGCGCGGTCGGTGGTGGCGCCCAGCCGCAGCAGCACGTCCTGGATGTAGCGCTGGTACGCCGTCACCACCTGTGGCCACGGGACGGAGTCGGCGCGGCCGGTCAGCTGGCGCAGCAGACGGGCTCAGGGTCGCTGGAGTGCTGGTGACGGTCGAGGGCGGTTCATGTGGTGATGCGGAAAATTTTGCAGCGGCTTTGAAGAGTTGGGAGCAGAACAGGAATGACGTATCATAGCAATGCATCGATCGACTTCATCACTGACAGCCTAGAAACTGATGACAACAACCACCCTCCAACTTCAGTAAAATGCATTTGCAGAAACAATATATATATATATATATATATATATATATATATATATATATATCGGATTCGTATTAAGCTGCATCAGGCATGGAAAACGTGACACGCAGATGCTGGCTGCATCCTCCGGTCCTACCCCTACTGGCAAGCGAGCAAGACGCTTGACGCATCACCACCTAGCAATCAGCGAGGGCACCAGTGCACTTGAATACTGATACATCGTACAAGGCGTGCTGCTATTGCTGCCAAGTCGAAGCTGTATCCAAGCATGCTGCGGCTATCACATAGCACACCGCGACTGAGTTGTTCTACGGTTTCGGCCATGTTTGTGCTTACAAGCATTGCATGCAATCCTCAGGCATGGCTACGCCAGCAGCAGATAACAAAAGACGTGACACCGCCCTTTAAAGCCCGCAGTACAACGCATGCAATCAGCAGTGCACTGCCACCTACACAGCACCCATGCAGACAAAGGCCGGAGGCTTTCATCTTGGAGGTTGAAACAGACTACCGCTAGGTGTCTGATGATGTGACAGAACTGCTCGTGCAGCAGGGACGCAGGGTGTATTCCAATAGTAAATGGGTCAGTATTGCCCACGGCAGACCACGAGTGATGAGTGTTGTATAGTTTAATAGAGCATAATTTGCAGTTTCCATTCTTAGAGGCACTCAAAGTGCCTGCAAACGAAAATCTTGTGTCTTTGCACGCACAGTTGTTGTCACGAAAGCTACGAAGATGGAAACAAAAAACGAGCCGTGATGCCAACACGCCTGGCAAAGGTTAATGACGTCACGTAGAATAGAACATTCTTGACGCACTGCAAATACATCCAGTTTCCCCAAGTCGACCGAGGAGGCTCAACCCGAGTCGATCAACCCACGTTAGTCTCAAATGCTGATTTCTACACGAATTGGACCAACTTTGCTTCAATGTTTCGAGAACATAGCAGCACGTTTATCTTAAATCCATCGTTTGATTTTGTTATTTCCAGGCAGTAAGGGAAGGACAAAGCAGAAAGTGGGAAATCCTTTGCATGCAAACCAGGTTTCTCCCATTTTCCTTTAATGCTTGTATTGCTTGGAATTCATGAGCGTATTATTTTAGGCTGAAGGGTTTGCAACTGAGCTGACAGGGCGCGGTTCCACAAGTACGGGGACGGGAGGGTTAAGTCGGCAAGCTTGCGGTTGGGCTCAAGAACGTCAACTGAAAACGGTCCTACGATCCCGTCACACCCATTCCAGGGACATTGGTGTGTGTGGGGACCTGCGGAGTCCGCGGTGTCATCTAACATTACAAGCGTGCGGAGTGCCAACGAGAAAACCAACAGCGCATGCGCGGAGGGAGCGGTGGGTGGCGATCTAACTTCTGGTCGACCTCAAGGCCAGTGCTCGACGCATTGCGAAAACGGCCAACAATAGTGGACACTGCAACAGTGGATGCAATTACCTTAAATGACGCAAAAACGCCAGCTACACAAAATCAACGTTCCAGCAACAGCACGAACCCATCAATAGTCGTGCACCCATTGTGCAAGCAAATGGATTTTCTGGTAATTACGGAGCCAATTCGCGATGCATCTCAATTATTTTCACCAAAAAGTGTTTTGCGACCGTGCGAAGCGCTGAACCTACCACCCTGTTAAAATCGCCACAGCAAAGAACAGCTAGAATCACATATTTGTTCACTGCAAATGCCTTCACAATACCCATATCATGACCATGAAAGACCACTTATTGTGATGGCTACATGATGGCCCTCTTCCTTACTGGCAGTGTTCGCCGACGTTAAGACATGTGGTCCATTCCCCCAACGATCAGCCCAATATATTACCACGTGAAAGGGGTTGGTAAATGGAATAGAAAATGACAGAGCCAAGCGTCGGTGCATGTTTGCGCCACTTCTACGAGGAGAAGACCTACGAACCAAGCTGCCACACGTGACGTCATAGCAAACAGCGGCCTATAGCGTCTATCAGGGGGAGCACGCCGGCGGGCACATCGAGCGATCTAGCGCGGCACACTCGGAAAACAGAAGTGCTGGCAGGCGAATAGTTACGGTATAGCGGAGTATTTTGTTTCTCAGCGACAGCAGAGACTGCCGGTGGCGCGTGTCCACACAGAGCTTTTTAACGGCCACCTGTCCGAACTCGGAGTAAATGGACCGCAGCTGCAGGCGCAAGAGAACCACAGCGATGTGTCGGCGAACGGACTCAACGGTCTGGCAGACCGACCGGACCGGACCGGACCGGACCGGACCGGACCGGACCGGACCGGGCCGGGCCGGGCCGGGCCGGGCCGGGCCGGGCCGGGCCGGGCCGGGCCGGGCCGGACCAGACCAGACCAGACCAGACCAGACCAGACCAGACCAGACCAGACCAGACCAGATCAGATCAGATCAGACCAGATCAGATCAATCAGATCAGATCGACCAGACCAGACCAAACAGACAGGTCTGGCGGATCAAGACGCAAAGCAGCTGTCGGCACTTCAGAACACATGCGCACATCACGGTTCCGCAATCTAGTGTTGAAATGTTGCTTCCGGGAATATAAGAAATCAAATACTTTCTGGAAGAACAGTAAAAAAAGTCCTTACAAACGACGCACCCGCAACACCACTGATTTTTAACGCCAGCTTAACTAATTCACAACAAATGACAGTACTTTGTGTGGCCATC